AGGCTCATGCAGTCAATCAAAGTTAGGAGGGTGATGAAATATGACCTCATTGAAAACGTCCATATGGAACAGTTCAGCGTAATGATTTATGTCTTGGTGCCCAAGTTCCCGTTTTACAAGGACATCCTCTACATTTCTGCAATATAATAAAAACTAAACTAATAAAAAAACTAAAAAAAAAACTAATAAAAACTAATAAAAACTTGACATGAGGGACCCATCACTGTTATCCAGGATAATGTCACAACAATTTATCTTGGTATAATACTTGTACAACAACTAAAACAAAACAAAACAAAACAACCTTTTGGTTTAATCTGGCCACTGTACCAGATAAATATAATGACTACTATTTCAACTGTGTTTCTTTCATAGTGTTTTGGCTCCTAAGCATATCCATTCTATACATTTTAAAAGTAATCTTGTTCCCATAGATATCACTATTTAAGTCAAAGTTGTACTGATTTCTTGATCTTGCAAACATACTGTAACATGTCCCTGCTATCTCTTATGAGACACTAAATAGCCTTTTATAAACCAAGCTGCATGCAAATCAGCCCACTCACTCACATGCTAACACTGTGGATGTAAAACAAAGATTTATTTCCTGTGAATGCAAAACAGGAACCAGCTCAATTAAAATCAACTGAAAAGGGTTAAAGACGAGTTAACCATTCCCTTCTTGAACCCAATCCTGCCTCACATCCAGGCAGACACATATAATTACAGTTTAGAGCTGTCCGGGTCAACAGCTTTTTACTGTGGAGCTGCTAAGTGCCACATGTGCTGAGTGCTTCGATGGCACCTTTGTACTTTTTTATTTTAGTACATTTGGATGCCAGTAATTTAGTCTTTTGTAATTTTCACAAAAGAGTAGTCATTCACTTCACTTTAAACTGCATCCATTACCCTGAACAGATAGTGTCTCCGAAAGCAATGAAACCTGGTGGCGGCACTTTGTCTAACTGTGATTAAAAAACACTCAACTTTCTCCTCTCTTTTTAATCATAGCAGCACTAGACAAAGGCCATGCATCCATGATTTCCTGAATTAACATGAAAGAAGCAAAATCTTTGCTCAGAGAGTAAGACAAAGTCAGAGTAACCTGACTCTAACTGTAACCCAAATCTTGCAGATAACAATTACCAAACCTCTTAATATGATAAAAAAAGAATGCCTAATAGTTCATGGTCACAATACAGATCCTGCTTTATCAAGTTTAAAATCATACTCAACTTTACATATTGCCAAGTAATGTTTTATCAAAGTAGCGTTTTGTCATCTTTGGCACAGGACACAAATCAGACCACCTGCAGAGTACTAAACAACTCATTGGCTAGAATAAATGGTGGCATTGTAAGTTTCTGTAAACCACAGACACATTTCATTTATATGTTATTCTGTTGTGGATATTTAGATATTTAAAAACATTACACTTCAGCAATGCTGTGGTTAATGTGCAGTTGGGTTTGGGCACAAAAAAAGACTTGGTTATGGTCAGGAAAAGATCATGTTTTTGCTTTGGTTTTTGTAGCACTATGCCAGAAGGAAATGCAGCAATGTCACAAAAACAAGTGCTTTTCTTGACACTATCCCTGGTGGAAACACAGCAATGGATTGATAATAAACACCCATGTTTGGTGGCCAAAAAGCTGCTGGAAACACAGGGATGACTCGCTCACAAACAACCATTTTGTTGTTTGCTGGTCTTAAACGGTGGTCTGCAGCTTGGCAGCCATCTCGCCTAGATGTTACACCATCCACCATACTCTCCACCTCCTGATGATCAAATCAGACCATATCTACTATGTCACTTGAGAAACACTGATATAAAATATGCATGAAATATATAAAGAATCTATTGCTTTAAGAAATGTACAATGCCAACATTTATTATGCGACTGTAGCCTACTACTGATGTAAGCAGTATCAGTTTAACTTCTCTGGACACAGGGTTGCATGAGTTATGGTCTTTGCATTTCTATTTCCCACAACAGCATTGGGAGGGGAAAGAAACTGGTGAACTTGGGCCTATGAGTCAGAGGTCATCGCCCTGCCTCCACCCTGAGGTTAAAACACCACCTGGGTTTACACAGAGACAGCTTCATCAGCGACCTCCCTGCCTGGGGTTGGCCTCGCCAGACCGGCTGGAAATACTTGTGATGCCGTGGAAAGCTCTCTGGCTCATGCTAGAGTGAAAAGACTGGCCAACTAATGTGACAATACACTGGCTTAGCACAGGGAGTGCTGCAGGGAGCTCAGGTTTCTCAGCTGAGGTCTGGACTAGCTATTGTAACAGAGAGAGTTTATTCACACATCATCACGAAAGGGATGTAAGTCAAAAGCATCGACAGCTTTGTAACTGGGACACAGGTTTCCTGTCTGGACAATAATAAGAGACCAGTTATAATGTAAGGAACCAGAATTACAATGTACTGATCCTAATGATTTTGATGATTGATGGCAAAGTCAAAAATTCTGCCCATTATAGGACTTCCACTTTTACAGATCGCATCTCCTAACTCTGAGATACACTATACAATGAACTTTAGGTAGTAATTTCCCTATATAAGGTTGTCTATCTTCCTATTACCCAAGGTTTCAAGTCCCTGTGTTTTTTTTTAAATAATTCTATCATTTATCTTAATTCTTGGCTGTCAGGGATTTAGCGAGAGCTGGCGTCACGCTTGTCATGAGGTGGATTTCTGATCTGAGAGGTGATGGATCTCCTCACATTTTGACTCCTGTAAGCCATCTCTGGCCTCACTGCGACTAATGAAGAGGAGTCAAACCAAGGTCTCAGCACTGCACGTGGCCTCTAGCCTATCAGCGTTGCATCGATGGGGCCAAAGGCTCAGCAGGATACACATGAGGAGTACTGGAAAGGATGCCAAGGCCTCCACAACAAAAGACTCCCCTCTATTGTCTGGGTAGTTGATGCATATTGCTGAAGTTGTTAGGGGGATTTTCTAGAACAACAATTAAGGAACCTAATAACCACAACAGTTCCTCTGCTAAACAGATATTAAGACACATGTCTAATGCTAAACAAGACGTATGCTAATAGAATGATAATTCAGTGAAGGATTACCCAAAGAGATACAGCTACTAAAGGATCTGAGTGTCTTTGCTCATACAATTTAAATATGTTTAACAGGATGTGAATTCGTGAACTCGTGAACTCTAGCAGTTCAAACACATAAGGAGATTGCATGAAGGCTAAAGATGAGGTGTGAAACACCTCAAGATCTTAGCCACACGTGATGTAAGGCTCATCAAAACTGCCCTCAATATTAGACGAGGATGAAGTAGTGGCACATGCAGAGATGGGGGCAGGGACATGGAGGATAAAGGGTGGGGGAGTTATTTGTTTGGGTATTCCAAGTAAGTCAAATCTAATGATATTTTAAAAAGTTTTCATGTTGTACTTTTCATTTTGTGTCAAAACATCAAACGGGTAAATGACAATGAACACATGCACAAGTCGTCTGTTGTTTCAGTTCACGTCTTTCCAACATGAGCCAACAGCTTCATATCACAACTCACAGTCCCATCTCCTAGAAATTATGTTTATATGCAACTAATTTGAAACAGCAAATTAGTTTTAAGAGAAATATGATGCAGATCAAATTATGCTTTCTACAAAAATCTTATTCTTTCTTAACCAAAACACATTTGTCACCTTAACCTCGGACAAGGGTCTTTGTTTCTGTGTTTTATTTGAGATATATCCAAAGTCACAATCTTGTCCTAACCTCAACCAAAGAGCTTTTGTTGCCTTAAACTAAGACATGAGTCTGGATGTGAACCTTAAGTTCTGGTGCCAAGGCCCTGCACGCTGTACACCTGCCATCCTCTCCAACTACCTCTCTCCAAAGCCTAGGTGTTACCTGAAAGAAACGCTGTCTTTGAACATAATCCAGGCAGTGATTACATTGCCTCAACAATGTAATTAAGAAAGCAGTTTAGTAACAGCAGTTTAGTAACGTGCAAACTTAATTTCTAGGAGACAGGGTTTTCATATCACTACTCAGCAACACTCAATGTGATTCAGTCACGTTCAGGATGTGTCTTCGGATAAACCTGACTGGAGATGCAGTTCTTGAAATTATTATATTTTATATATACTTTATTAATCCCCGAGGGGAAATTCAATTTTTCACTCTGTTGTCAATTACACACAGGTCCAAACACACACATGCACAAACAGGACCTATACATGCACTAAGTGGAGAGATGTCAGAGTGGGCTGCCCATGACAGGCGCTCCGAGCGGTTGGGGGGTTCAGTGCCTTGCTCAGGGGCACCTCGGCAGTGCCCAGGAGGTGAACTGGCACCTCTCCAGCTACCAGTCCACGCTCCATATTTTGGTCAGGACGGGGACTCGAACAGACGACCCTCCGGTTCCCAACCCAAGTCCCTATGGGCTGAGCTACTGCTGCCCCGGGAGTCTTTTAGTTTTATAACAAAAGTGTAAGCCACATTATATTCCTACATTTGTTTTTTCAAAAATACCCTAAGGGCCAAAATTTTGGTCTCTAAATTCACAGATTTTAATTCTAGTTTTGACTTTAGAACGTGTGCAGATACATTTTAAACAGAAATTAGATCTTTACTACTGTCTTATTGCACATGTAGCACGTACGCCTACAGCTTATGGTCGCATGTCAATTATGGCCCGGTTGAGAAAATCCCTATACGTGCATTACATAACAAAATGAATCCCACCTCATATTTCTAACATTTAAAAACACATTAACAGGTTTCCCTTAAACTGATTTGGACAAATAATAGCAACTCATTCTCGCCGGAGCATTACTTACATCATCTGCGTCACTGTAAACAAACCACCTGGGGAGCTCAGCTCTAACTTTGTGTGCCAGCAAGAACTGATGGAGGATCTCATAAGATAAGGATTGTTTTACTCTTCCCAAAGAGTTTAAAAACACAGAAGTTTGCTTTTAAGAAAATTTTGTGCGAAAGAAACAAAAGTTTTCTTACCTGCCCGTGAGTTTCAAGTCCCCAAGCTGGTTAGTCCATTCAGCACACTGATTAGCTTGAGGAGGATTGGCTTTAGGTGGGTAATTTTAAACCTCTCTCTCTCTCTCTCTCTCTCTCTCTCTCTCTCTCTCTCTCTCCCTCTCTCCCTCACTGTGTCTCTTCCTCACTCATACACACACATGTTCGGTCAGACATAGATCAGAACTGCCATTTTGTCTGACTTTTGTTGGTGTGAGTATGTGTTGATACAAACCTGCAGTGCTTCACTTCAGCAACAGATGATAATTTGCTCAAACTTTGAGAGAAAGTTAAAGACGCCTGTTCTCTGTGCAGAGAAGTCATACATCAATACTTAGAAATGTTTCATGAGTGGGTTCAAAAACTCAGCGAGGAAGCCATAACCAAAAACGAAGCAACAAGAGCTGATTAGATCTGATTGTCATTGGTTTACTTCCTCATGCAACCTGCTGTACATACATGTTGACTCATGCAGGTCACCATAGTCTCAAACTGACTGTACCTGGGTCTACCTGTATTTGAATTTACTCCAATCACGTTGGCGTGTGAAGTCCTTTTAACTGAAGATTAGCTTGAGCCTCTCTCCAGCCCCCACACATCTTAACCACGCCCACCTATTTACAATTACACAGCAGGAGCTGCCATCCGTCATGGCAGAAGATTCAGACTGGAAAAGTCCCACATACCTGATTGGCCTGATGACAGACCTACTAATGATGCCATTAGGGCACACAACAAGCCAAAGATGTGTTTAAGTGAATGCACGCAGCAGCTGTTGTTTTGAGTTAGGAGAAATGAGTTGTAACTGTATAACAGTATTGATTAAGATGAAAGAGAAAAGTTCTGGTATCAGTCTGCATGAGAGGAAATAGAAGATAAGCAGTGCAACTTATCTTTAATTAGCCTAAATGTCCTCTGGTGGAGATTTTTAAAACAGAAAATTCACCCTCAGATATTTTGGCAGTTATATATTAGACAGAGCCAGTCAGCTGAGGACAGGCTCATCTGAGAGGAATAAATAGGTAGGCGGGTCGTAGCATAGGATACAGACAGGGCACAGGGCATTGCTTTGTAGCTGGGCAACCTGGACACCGGGGTAGGAAAGGTTTACACACACACACACACACACACACACAGCAGGCTGTTCTAAATTACTGTTTCTACTTATACCAATGTAATGCAGTATAATTCATATATAACCCACATAATCTTGAGCCAGGAGGCTGTTACCTATGTGCTGCAGGCTGTCCTCCCTCATATGACAGGAGCAAAGGAGGAAATCAGGTCAGTTCGCTAAAGGTTCTGAATGCAACATTCAGGGCATTAAAGCAACCCTTACCTTTCTGGAAATTTTACGTTTTCCTTTGTTTAGGTTTAAATGCTGTTAATAAGCTGATGGCACACTCATAGTTGTACCATTCTCATATGGTTCTAAGAAAACTCCGGGTGTCCTGTCTGTCTTCCCCACTTGGAGGCCTCTGACTGACATAGCCGCTCGCGTAACATCCCCTCCCCCGCACCCCCGAGTCTGTGAGACAACAAATAGGCTGGTAACAGGGACGTTTGTGGATATAAACTTTTCTCCATAACAATGGCAGACAAATGCGGACCGCCGCTTCCACCTCCATGCACAAAAAAGATGGCAAAAGAAAGAACATAGCAGAAAAAGCTAACACTAAAAGAGAACTCGATGCTGCAAGAGCCAACATCGGCTCTGCTATCGAGCGATGGCGATGACTGATGCAGCTTCATCCTGGGCTAAAAAGGGACGAGATGGTCGCAGAGTTTCTGCTGGACAGGTATTTTTAGTTTGCCTCTGATGTAACATAGGCTATAACGTTATATATGACAACACAGCATCCAGTTGTGAATGGCTAATGTTAGCCTACTGTAGCGTAGCCTCTGAAACATTAACGCTATCTTCCTTGTGCATTTCCACTTACTAGTAACGTTAACGCTGCTATCTAACGTTAGCACTGTAACCTTATTCTAAAACTCATCAGTCATCACTGACTCCGGTTAAGTTTTAAAACTCCAGGGTTGCATTTGACTGTCTTGGCTGTAACGTTACACTCGCTCTCCTCTTCTGTGTATCTAACGTTACCTTGCCAGCGCCTACGTCTATCATAGACATAATGAGGACGTAATGGAGGAGGGGGGAGTAGGCCTTTGGAGGGATGTGGAGTTGCAGGAGGAGAGGGATGGGACTTTGGAGGGAGGTGGGAGTTGTGGATGTTCAAATTTTTCTAAGTGCTGTGTGAAATTCAAGAAAGTTACATAGGTAAGGTTTAGGAAAAGAACCATGGTTAGGTGTTGTCATATTATGTATCTAACATAAAGTTACATAGGCTAGGGTTAGGAGAGTAAAGTTACATANGGGAGTTGTGGATGTAATTTTTTCTTAGTGCTGTGTGAAATGCAAGAAAAGTAAGAGTTACGTAACTGTGTTAAGGACGTAATGTCATTCATGGGGCCCAAATTTGTAGGATAACATATGAACTGTTCTATCAGAATACACTGACTGCTGTGGATGGGTGTCAGCAGCAAAATGTATTTTAACCACATAAAAAAAGGGGCCTACCCTCCAAAAGTCTATCAGTCTAAGTGGACTTTAAGTATGTAATGTAATGATATCCAACCATGATTCTTTTCCTAAACCTGATCTGACCTGTAGGGGGCACTAATTCAGGAAATGCCTGAAAGACATGTTGCAGCCTGACCTGTTCCATATGCTGCCTTTATACATAACTGTATAACTTAGGGCACATAACAGTGCCACCTGACTTCCTCCTTTCCTCCCATTATAATCAATACAGCTTCGAGAGGTCGCTGTCATTTGAACACAAAATTAAATCCTTTTGAGGCACTTGCTAAAACAATGGATGTTGTGTTTCTTCTTAGAAGGAGAGACTCCGCAGAACTCTTATCCAACATGCCATGGTTTATTTCCTTGGTTTAGGTAATAAAACATGAGAAGACTTTATTGGGAACCAATGGATCTGCAATCATGTTCATTTGCCCTGGCAATTTGTATTTGGTCTGGCCATGTCATGTTATAGGAATGAAGCCGATACAGTGCCAATATGTTGGGTCATATTGTCCAGTCATAGTGTGAACTCACAATCATAAATAGCTGCTTTGAGCACTTCTGCAGCACTAACATTTGTCTGCAATTCCCTTGTAACCAAACAGGCTTTAAATGTGTTGTATTCAGTTGTGGGTTTTATATGTAGGTGGAGCGTGGTAGTGATAGTAAGAACAAAAGTGTGAGAGTTGCGTGAGTTTCAGTTGAGAGAAATGTGAGATCTTCACAAAAGCAGGTCTTGTGTCTGCATTGCATTCTGCTCTATTTTCTGCAACTGCATGTGGGAGGAGAAAAAGTTTTCTGCGTTTCTCTGATGGATTTCTCCCTGAATATCTGTACTAGTTATAGAAGAGAAATCCATTGTTGCCTCTCTGAGGTGGAGAGACATTTACTGCACTCTTGGATTAGAACATGGGAATTAAATACTAATATTAAACTTCATTACATGGACACATCTCAATGCGTCATTATTAACATCAAAACTGACACAAATATGCATAGAAATTCACCGGCAGATATTATGAAGATTTAACCCCCCTAAACTCCTCCGTTAAATGTATCCTCCATGTAAAAGTATTTAAAATATTAATCAAGTCCCTATCCCTCTTGGACATGACAGTTTCTAAACTTAATTCCACAAATTAGCATCTCAGCAGGCTTTAAATGTTACACAACTTAAATCAGAGTTCTAGAAAGAAGGTGGATAAACTTTTGAATTAATATAAATTTTGCATGCTTATTAATTTATCATGATCAGGGGAACAGACACTTCTTCACAGCTGGCCCGATATAGCTCACTGACTTACCAGCATTTTTTAATTTTCCACACTCGACCTCCACTGCATGAGGGTAAACTCCTGCTTGCATGTTCATCCTTACAAATAACATTTTGCTGTCTGTTTTGCTGATCTAATTTATTCGGCTTCATGAACAAGCCTTCAGGCAAGACTGTGTGTTTTGGAAATTTTGACCTAATTTGCCAGTACGTGCACAAAACTCATTGTCTGACTCTGCAAACTTTGACAAAATCTTGTTGCTCTTCTTAAAAAGCGTCCCTCTGCTTTTTAAACCCTGATCTTTACTCATATATCTCTATTCTGTAAAGTGTCCACAGGTCTGTTTGTGATTGTGGTATAGTCCATGTTCCTAATTAACATTATTCTCATACTGATACTGACAGTTCTGTGCACGAAAATAGGGGATAAATCACATCTGTATTTATTCAGTTAAGGACAGTGCATTTTATTTTTCACAACAGGACGATCATGTATTATGTCTGATCAGAAGTGTTTTTAGTTAGTTTTAGTATTCTACCTGAAGAAAAAAATATCCTCCTGCTTTTCTCTGTTTAGCTTTTAAAGGGTAGCCCACAACTACTTAAACTTGACCTCAATGCCATATCAGCAGAGCAAAAATATATATATATATTTTTTCATTTCACCTCCTCTTTCTTTATTGACATTGACTTCAGAGCCTGTGATGCACAAACATGGAGCTTTAGCTTATTTCAGGAGTTACTGTATGGGTGGAGAATTTAAAAAGCACAGATCAGGGTGAAAATCTGGCAAAATATTTCAGCTCAATTTACATGCTTTTTAAACATTCTTAGAATATAAATAATGCTTAAAATGGCCTTAAATATTAAAGTATGTTTAGTCTATTAGCTGCATCCTTAGAGTTGCTTCTCCCTGCAGAAATAAATGTAAACACAAGAAGGTAAGGGAATATTTGGCTTGGTCATAGGTGCTCAGACATGTGACATTTCATTTGATTTTATTTATTTATTTTTTCATATATTCACGGGTGATGAAAACGATTTTTCTCCCATAATAATAAAGCTTTTCTCTCTCTTCTTACATAGATGAAGACATTACATCATAAATTGGCAGCAGTAGCTCAGTCCATAGTGTCTTGGAATGGCCTAGACACTTGTGTGGACTG